CTCCCTCTCCCCCTCCCCCCCCCTCTCTCTCTTTGAAAGGCTAAAAATGGGCCTGTTTTGGGCCTCCTGAGGCCTCCATGCATCCCATTTTTGGCCTCCTCGGCCTCCAGAAAATGGGTGGGGGCTGATGGATAGGTGGAGCAATGTGGATGGAGCAGCCTTGTGGTCCTTTGTGGGCCAGATTAATGGCTTTGGCGGACCATATCCAGCCCCTGGGCCATATTTGAGGACCCCTGCACTAAAATCACTGGGCTGTAAAAGGTCCCTGGTGTGCGTTTTCCTGTTAATTTCCAAATATATAGCTGTCCATCTTTCACTGAACTAGAGAATGGTGGATCTGACAAGATCACTTCAGGTTGGTCTTGTCAATTGTGTTTTATCGGAGCAAGATGTTTCACTCACCCATTTATTATTTTGATGTTTTTCAATGAATTGTGTAATTCAGCACAGGGAACAAAAATGGTACAAATCTCTACAGTTAATCCTTGACTTACAACCAGTCGCTTAAGTTTGAAGTTATGACAGATCTCCCTGGGGGTACCTATGACTCAGTTACAAAGTTCCAAGCATTTACTATCGTTTTTTTAGCAAAACTGGCCCATGGATTTGCTTCATGACTGCGGCATTCGATGAACAAGCAGAGTGGTTAATTTATGATAATAGAGGTAACTACTGCTTCAAAGGAAGTTATAAAATCAGTTCGGTCACACGAGTGACCCAATTTACAACTGTCACAACTTACAACCATGATGGGCAGACTCCATTATGGTCATAAATCAAGGACTACCTGTAATGACTCTGATGCCCAAAGAATCTATGAAGTTCTGAAGCACAAATGCAAAAAACTCTCTCACTTGTTTATGTGCAGTGTGCATTATATTATAGCAACCTTTCTCTATTTGATGCTCCTTTAAAAGATTGGGATTAAACTTTCAAAAATTTTGGACCAAAATGATGTGAAACTTTGGGAAGTCTAGTTCTAACAAACTTGAATGTCTGATCAATATAACAGTTACTCTACCAAACCAGAAGTAAACTGCATTGCTGAAAAACTCAGACTCACAAGTAAATGAGAAAAAGGTCCTTTTTTTCCTAGCAAAATGATAGAAAAAATTAATTTCACTGGATTTTCAGAAAACCTTTTATAATAAAACAATTTAATTTAGTAATAAACTGTGGTTTATTGAACAAGCCACAATGACTTGCTTACACACGTCATAAAGTCATAAACTGCAGTTTACAGTCCTTCATTTGAAGCCAAAATACCACGGTGATTTTGCATGACACGTAAATCCAGCTACAATGGCTGAAGGTGCTCTCAGGTTTCAACAGGTCTTTAAAAAAAATGCAATAAAAAGTTTGGACTAAATTTGTAAGATGAGCTTAACTTGGGAATGGACAAGCAAAACAGAAGCCAGTTATCATTTGGTGAAAAGGGTTCAGGTTTTTTTCCCACCCTGCCTTTATTATTTTTATAAATAAATTAGCTCAAGACAGCAAGCATACCTAATATAGTCCTCAACTTACAACAATTCATTTAGTGACTGCTCAAAGATACAATGACGTTGAAAAGGTGACTTACGACCATTTTTCACACTTACAACCACTGCAGCATCCCTATGGTCACTTGATCAAAATTCAGAGGCTTGGCAACTGACTCATATTTATGAGGGTTGCCGTGTGCCTAAGGTGACCAGGCGTCCCGATTTCNATTCCTAATAAAAAAACTTCAGGTTTCCATTCTATTTTAACCCCTGTTATTGCCTCCAGCCAATTTTTGATCCTTTTCCAAAAAATTTTAGCCTCGTCACAGGTCCACCATAAATGGTAATATGTTCCGTGTATTGATTCGCATTTTCAGCATTTTGGACCTCACCCCATTCCTAAGAAGTCTCACACCAACGTACCTACCATCCTGTCCTAATGTTTCTTTTATTCATATCCATTTCATGTATCCCAAATCATGTTTATACATATATATGTTGTCTAATGTATGCTTGATGAAATAAATACATAAGTAAATAATAAATAAATGAAATGAATATTATTGAATAAGTAAAATATAATTTTTAAAAAATCTATGGCTCAATGGTAGTGCTTTTGCTTTACAAAGATCTCAGATTAACATCTTGATTTCCCCCCCCCCCCCAAGATAATGCTTGAAATGGCTTCTTTGATAAATCCTGGGAACTGAATGCCAATCAGGAAAGGAAAAATATGCTGGTGTTCCAAGAACCAGACTAAGAAACAAAATATTTTATTTCTGTATTTTAATGAAACAACTCTCTAATCCAGATGTAAGCAAAACTGAGAATTTTTCTGTCTTACATTTGCTAGAAAAACTGATCACTGGTAAGAAGTGTTCATAGTCCAACAACAGCTGGAATGTAATTAGTTACTTACGCCTTCTCTTGCAAACCGATCTGCTTGCTTGCTTGTTTGCTATCACTAATTTCTCCCTGGCTGCCATCTTAAAGAACCCTTAATACTATTATGTATTTCCAAAGGCACATCTCCACCCAAAAAGCACATCTTATCAGGAGTTAAGGCCTGCCTTGCAAGCAAAATCTCCTTGTTAAGCCGGGGAACCTAATGATATCTGCTGGATTTCTCACTGAATAAGATGCAAAATACCATTGCTGAACAGTGGTGATTTTTTTAAAAAAAACCCAGATAAATATAATTTATGGGACTGCCAGGACAGACTTTTCCACGACAGTAGCAGAAACAATATATTCAATGCACAGAAAAATATGTTTTCATTTTGTGTCTCGGGTGCATTACAATGTTAAAATTTATTGTATGTTAATGTGCTACATAAAAATGAAGTATTTTAAACTTTCACTTACTGAATCAAAATCAAACTAAGATCTTTAAGGAGTCAAAAAAAGAACAGCAATAAAGAAGGAGGAAATTTGGTAGTTCAATCTGAAAGGAATAAGATGTTACTTTAGAAAAATGTTTTTCAAGCTTGGTGACCTTAAGATATACGGACTTCAAATTCCAGAATTCCTTAGCCAGCATGCTTGGAGTTCCCTAGTCCACAAATTTTAAAATTGCCAAGGTTGAGAAGATAGTCTTCCAACTGAAACTTAGTTGCAGAAGAACTGTTAATGTATGACGAATATAGAAGAAAACAACAACCCCCAAATCCCATTTTTTATAGCCATGGCTTTGTGTTATGTTTTTTAATATAATTGTTAATTTGGACCAGATGGATAAATTTCACACCTTTGTTTTAAGCTAAATCTCAATTAAGAGACAATTCAACTTTTAACTCAGTTCAGACATATACCGCTGTATGCTCTTGCATGTATCCAAGCATTACCATAGGTTCAATATATCCCTCCCCCCTGAGTTTTCTGATTTTCTATACGTAGACAAGCTTTGTGGAAGACTTCTAAATATATTTGCTTTTTAGGATTGCATATGTAAAGAGCATGCAAACCACAATGCTTGTCCCAAATCAGATCTTCCCATTAATCTGAATGGGGTGAATATTGGAATATGGATTTGGATGAACTCAATTGCAAATACCCAATATTTTGGAGCCAAAAGGAGAATATGCCATTTTGAGAGCATGTTCTGGGCACTTGTAGAATGGCTACGCATAGAAGGCCTGGCTGAATGAGGCCTTCCCAAAGTAGCAGTCACTAAGAACCTGAACAGTGACAAAATATAATCAACTATGAGGAAAAATGGTAAGATTTAGCCTCCAGGATGATTGTGGTCACTCCCATCTTACAGAATTGTTTTGTTCTGGACAAGTAGAGACATTTACAAAATGTTGGTCTGAAACCAATCACCCTTTTTTATTTTCTAAGAATATCAATAGGTGTGCGCACACAGACTCCAAGCATCTTTTCAGAAAATCCTACACCACCTGCAATAGAGGAATGGCTAATAAAGATGACTGGCAACGATGCCTAAGTCCTGAGAGAAAAATCACTGTAAGCAATTCATTGACTCATCTTCATTGGAAGCTCTTTCTGGACTTTTTGCAGGAGATGGAGAAAATTCAGATTTTGACATATGGATTTGATGTTTGTTAAAATTTAAAAAGATAAAATGGACATTATACTACAGTCTTAAACTAAGAGTTGAATGTAAGTGTTCCCTATATCCTTGGAAGAAATCATTCTTTCTGTGTTTCCCCCACCACCTCTTTCTTTTTCTTTACACGTTTATGCACTATTTCTATTCTCTCTTTACTCTGTATCTTATTTCTTCGTTGTTAGCTCATGTTATTTTTTATGTGTAAAATTAATCAAATTATTAGATGGCAAAAAAGAAATGAAGAGATTACATTCCTACTCAGTTTTGTGGCAATCCAGCATTTTTAAACTATGAAATAAAAATGCCTTTAACCAATAAATAAAGCACAGTGCCCTGGAAATCAAGCAGAGAAACTCATAGCTGTAGCTGCACCCTATGTTATTGGTCCCAAGTTAGTATCAAATGTGGATGTTGTTCCTTATTTTCCTTCAGTGGGATCCATGAACAACATTAATGTATAGCTGTCTGTTCAAAGGTAAGACCTACTAACCTCAATAAGATTAGTAACCAGATGATCAAACACAGGCTTATAATATTTTATTTATTTTCTGTTGCTCAGCCCTACATTTCAATCTAGCCTGCCTAAGGATTTATGTGATCCAGGGCAAGTAATATTAATAGTTGGAACCCTGAGAAGATAGTCATCTGCAATTTGTGACAGAATAACAGGAGGGAGATCAAGGGTTTGCATAAAAGCTCATATCTCTAATGTATTACAGATTTTTGTATTTAACAGAGGTGCACGTTTTGGAATATTACTTCACATTTCACTCACACAAGAGGAAAGAGAGATGACCTGTGTAATCAATAAACTTTTTGACATCAAAGAAAATTAAGAAAAGTGTATTAGCTGACTTTTAAGATTAATATACAGAAGATATAACTTCTGTTTATTAAAAGCTAGTACAAATATGAAGGTACTAGATCAAACAGAAGTGATGAATAGAATGGGTGTCAAGATTGAGAGAAGGGTAAGATATTTGGGTGTTAATTTGACAAATATGAATGATATGAATTGCATATTGTTTAAAAAAAAGTTTGTTAAGATATGGAATGAAGTCAAAAAAGGCTGAATTTGAAACAGAACTAGGTACAAATGATGAACATATTATTTCTAAAATGCATAAAATGGTTATTAAAATGTGACGCAGAAGAAGTAAAAGAATATTTAATAAAATGAGCTAAAATGTGGGTTATAATATATAAAAGAAACAATGGGAGAATATGTGCCACATTATGTTTACAACTTTAAAGAGAACTTTTATAAAATTATGTCTCACTGGTGTATTCGTTCCTGGAAAAATTGTCTAAAATATATAAAGGCACTTCGAATATAAGTTGGAAATATGACTGAGGTGCCTTTTTATCATGCTTGGTGGACATGTAAAAAATGGATTCTAATACACATTAATTCAGATTTTAAAGATTAATATACCACTCAAACCAGAGATGTTTCTTTTGGGACTGATTGACAAAAAGTTGGGAATCAACCATGGAACTTTGTTTTTATATGCAATAACAGCATCGAGACTTTTATATACACAATGGTGAAAGGGTTGACATCCACAATGGAAGAAGGGATGGTGAAGACAATGAAAGTTGTGGAGATGGCAACATTGACAGTGAAAAGGTGAAATTATTTGTAATGCTGACTGGGAACTCTTTTTGCATGAAAATGAAACACATGACATATATTTGATGACATATGAGTGATAATTAAAAAAATAGTAGATAATAGAGAAAATGAAATTATTTCCTAGAGTAAGAGGTCAATTTAAATTTATACCTATAAATGTATAGCTATACCTAGAAGTAAAAGAAAATCAGAAGTCATTTCTTTATATTTCCTTTCCCTTTCTTTTCTTTCTGAACTATTTGCTTTCTCTTTCTTTTCTTTTTCCTTTTCAATCTTAATTATTGGTTTCTTTTAGTTTTTAATCTTTCTAGTTTTTAAAAAAATCTAATAAAGTTATCACAAAGACAAGAAAATGAAGGGGGAAAAACAGCTGATATGGTACCTTCATAGGTGCAAGCTGGATGGGTGTAATGCATGAAGGATCCACCATAGGCTTTGGCCTATTTGCTGTGTCTGCCAGCAAACTATGCCATTGTTGAGGTAGTCCGGTGAATTTTTGTTCTCTGTGATCAAATCCAGTGTGTACCCTGTGTTCAAAATTGGAAGGGCCAGAAATTTCAATCTTTTTCTTTTTCTTTCCAAACATGATGGAAAAACCTGAAAAAGAAGATAAAATGTGTTAAGATATACATTACTAAGAAAACATGGCGTATATGTTGATGACTGGATTGCAAAGATGAAAAGAAATGGGCAAAGAGCTGGCAATATATAAACAATACAAATTCATTTTACTGCATATCTCTCTCTCTTTCCTTGCTTTTGCCTATTTTTCACCCTCTTTTTTGCCAGTTTACATATTTTCCCCCAAGTTGAAATAAGTGATATGTACACTTGCTGTAATCTAGAATGGACTGGGAGTATACTAGGTGCCAACTAAACTGGAAATTGTCCACAGTAACAGACAGGCTATAGGCCCAAGAAAGCTTACTCTGAGCAGCCCAAAGCAACTCAACCACTCAACATACCAATTTATTTTCAGGCACTAGACGAAAACATTCAGATGAACCAGCACTCAGAGCCCAACATCACAGATACTCATCAGGACCTAAAATATCCTAATCAAGGAGCATTTTTTTCGTGCTTTAAAACTTAGCAAAGAGCAATGAAACCGGGTCTAGAAAATCTCATACTTGAAGAAGGGTGACAACAGCCCCTGGAGATGAAAATGGAGGCACCGTCCAGAAGAAACCCAAATCACAAAAACTGAAAAAGGATATATTATTTATGTCTGAAATAATTCTAAGAGTGAACACAACCAACTGAAAATTGATTCAAAACTGTTTTTAGCTAAGCTAAAACTCTGGAATCAGCAATAATACTTTAATGTTCAGAAAAAAATTGTAAGCTCAAAATTATTAGGGAACAAAAATGCAATAGAATAGGTGCAGAGTATATCTCTCTATCCAGAAGACACTAAAACAAAATAGTGTAAAACTTTCTCATGATTTCATCAGGAAACTGTTATTAAGTATTAATACAAATACTTATATAAATGTCAAATAAAAATATATAAAAATAATAATATATTTTTCTCATTCTATTCAAAGTCCATGATGAATTTTACCTTAAGAATATAATTGCTAGACTGGAGGTATATCAATATGATTGAGCAATGCAACTGTAGGGAATTCTCTAAACCAGGGGTCCCCAATCACAGCCTGGTTCACAACCAGGCTGTAGGCCAGCACGATTGACTCGCACTAGTGGTGGACCAGAGTGCACCCACATGCGAGCTGCATGTGCTCCAGCCTGCTGGTCATGCAGCCCGGTTCCCCCCTCTCCCCCCCAGCTGGTCCACCAAGCCGCAAAGGTTGGAGACCACTGGTCTAAACCAATGAAGGAAAGAAAAAAAGAACTGCTCAATTAAAGGGTGGGGGTTTATTACATCTGTGTATCACATAGGGCAGGGGTGTCAAATCAAACATCGATTTCATCAGAGTTGTCCTTGACCTCAGGGAGGATGGGGGAATTTGGCTGGGGGATGTGGCCAGCTCGACATCACTCGTCTCGGGGGAGCCAGTGGTTGCCCAGGCATGGCTGGGGGTGAATCCATTGTCTCCAGCAGAGGAAGGTAAGACCAGGGAGAGCGCCAAACCCTTGTCCTCCAGAGGAGCCTTGCTGTCTGCTGGTGGCCAAGGGCTAAGGCAGGAGTTCCTTCCTTCCCCCTCCCCCTCCTCCTTCATTGTTCTTTCTTCTTCCTTCCCCTCTTTCCTTCTTTTTCCTTCCTTGGTCTCTTCCCATCTTTTTCTTTGTCTTTCCCTTTCTCTTTTCCTGTCCCTTCTTGGATGCTCAAATGCAAAAGGGTAAATATTTCTCCTTTCATTTTGTTTTGCTTTTAGTTTGTTTTGCTAGCACACGCCCCCCCCCCCCATGCTCCATTTTCGCTGGCAGAGGCACTGTAGGCCGGTCCCTTGCCATTTCCACTGCTGCCTTGTGGGCCAGAACTAAACACCCTGAAGACTGGATGCTGCCCACAGGCCTTGCGTTTGACACCCTTAACATAGGGCAATGAAAGAAATATCTTTTATTCTGGTGGCAAAGTTGCACGGCTTTCACACAAACAAATTTTCTGGATGCTCTTTTCTTCTGAAAAATAAAAAAAGAGATGCATAAAGAGTAGAACAGCACTGATGCTATCTTCACAGCATTTTGTTTGCTGGTTGGCATTAAATTTTAATAGAATGGAAACTCATGCACTCCAGAAGATATGGGTCTCAATTTATGCTATGAAGCCTTTTCATGCAGATTTCTATTATTTGCTTGAATTATTTTTAGTATATAGATGGAACTGTTACTTTTTGTTGGTTCTCATAATGGTGATGGTGATGATGTAGCCCTCATTTACCTTGTCCTTTGCAAACTGTAAATATTTTGCTTCTGTTAGAATTGCATATATAATTCTTTATGCTTAAATTTTGGGGCAGGAAACCAGTTATTTCCAAATGTTGCTGAAAACAAGGACAATAATAATTTCTTAAATGCAGTTCCCAGATTCCATCATCAATGCCCATTTTAGAAAGAGTTGCCAGAAATTCTACTTGGAGAGCTACAAGTTCCCTGCTTGTGGCCAAAACAGAACCTACAATTTTTATAAAGAAATCTATGCCGATGGAGTTGGCGACTTTAGAAGAAAACTGCCAGTCTTTTGGACATCCACCCCGCCCTTATTTCCCACAAATCTGTTACGTTAATATCTGCAATCACTTTGGTGGAGTATGCAAATGATTTCCTAAAAAAGAAATTGTACGTTAAAAGTTCCACTGTGGATACACAAAATCACTGGGACGCTAATCAAATCAAAGGGACACTCCAAGTGAAGTCCGGAGAATGAGAAAGGGGATCATTTTTCCCCTCATCAACTTTATCAGATCATGAAAACTATCATTTTCTGGAAAACACCTACTCTGCATGTAGCATGTCTTCCAAGATTAAAGGAATTAGGTCTTCCACCCCTCTGTGGGAGTAGACACCAATCTGAACAGCAGCTGAAATTAGTTCCATGCAGTCGTTCTGGTCCAGAGTAACACAGGAAAACCTCTTTCACAAAACCATTCATCCAGATTTTGAGAGAAAAAGCTATGGTGGATAGCAGGGGTGAAAAGCTACCGGTTTGGACCAGTTTGCCCGAACCGGTAATAAAAATCTACCTGTTCACCCGAACTGGCGAGAAAAAAAAAAGCTGCTGGTTCAGGTGAACCAGTTTTTCTGATGATCAGTTGTGATGACCGATTTATATTAGCTGGAAAGCAGGATTTCCTGCAGATTCCCTCCCCTGCTGTTCGCTTACTTTTGTAGGCGCGCTCTGGGCATGCAGAGGGTCCAGAAACAGAAGTGGTGCGTGCGAGCAAAGCGCTCATTCACGCTCACACTGCTACTGAACCGGTAGCAAAGGTAAGTGGATTTCACCCTGATGGCAGGATATTGGTGTCCTTCAGTTCAAAGTTACAGAACAGCAGTGACTTGAAAAGCTGCTTCCAGACTGACCTGTGAGACAATCCATCATGGCTCTTATTTTCTTGGTGAGGGGGAAAAAAACACCTCTTGAGAGGCCACTTACTATATTTCTTGGTTGGGCAGTGGGCAATTGCTCCTCACTAAAATAGCAATTTTGCTTCTGCAAATCAAGCATTTTTTTAAAAAAATCCAGCACTGCACCAGTCTGTAATCACAGAACTATATGCGCTGAGGCTTAACAGCATGATTGCAATCCTCAAGGAGGATGTGAATTGCTAAAATCTTTAGCTTAAAATTGTGTTTATTTTGGCCTTCTGAAGCTTTTGCCCTTTTTGTTCTTTAAAAAGGGATTCGCTAGCAATAAGTGGGTCTTCTCAGAGACTCCGAGGCCAATATCTGTGTTTTTGAGGCCCTGAGCAACAGGAAAAATAATCCCTAATATAACAAAATGAAGTTCACGCTCACAAACACACAAAAACAGAAGGGAGGGAGAGAAAGAGTTTCATATCTTGTGTATGATATAAACATAATGTATATTTCATGAACTTTATCTACAGGAGAAAAAATCAATAAAATTGACCAACTGGAAATATTCATAGAATTATTTATTTAACATGTTCTATGTATTCTTTTCATAATCATGGGCCCTTGCTGAACAAGACCATTGATCTAACAATATTATTTCTAACAGAGGCCAAACATTTCTGTAAAAATGTCAGATGGGATATATTGCATTTTCAATGGATTGTTCAGGTTTGACTTTTGAGCAAGGATTATAGAAAAAGAAACAAACACTACACACTTGGATGGGGCTAATGATGCTCCAGGAGAGATGGGCCTTATTTTCAGACCCTTTTAAAACTTAACTCAAATTCAAAATATTAAAACCAATTCGGATTCCAGACAGAAACTCAAGGGAGACGTGCACTACCCTACATAATTCCAAATATTGGTGGTTTCAATTGAAGCTATAAGTTCCTGCCTATTAACTTAAAAAAAAAAAAACCTTTTTGAGTAAAGACACTTCTTTGCAGATTGAGGACTTAATGGTTCCTGCCTATCAATTAGCTGACCTTGAGCAAAACAAGTCTCTTTGTTCCATAAAGAACATTCATTCCTGATAACATTCTAAAAGCAAGAAAATGTGAAGAATATCTGAATTCTATTTTCAAAAGTTTAGCACAATCAGAAAAAAAGGTATGCCATATCAATATTTCTTCATGCACCAAATATGACCAAGTATATATATTTAATAGCATTTTAGAAAGCAAATAATGTAACCCTTGGATGATGTCAGCAGCAATGAGATTTGGGGGTTGAACTGGTCCCCCCCCCCCTATAATTTCCCAATCCTTTTCTATGACATAAAGGTAAAAAAATAAAGGTTCCCCTCACACATATGTGCTAGTTGTTCCCAACTCTAAGGGGCAGTGCTCATCTCCATTTCAAAGCCGAAGAGCCAGCGCTGTCCGAAGACGTCTCCGTGGTCATGGGGCTGGCATGGCTAAACGCCAAAGGTGCACGGAACACTGTTACCTTCCCACCAAAGGTGGTTCCTATTTTTCTACTTGCCTTTTTATATGCTTTTGGACAGCTAGGTTGGCAGAAGCTGGGACAAGTAACTGGAGCTCACTCTGTTATGT